ATTCTAATCATCTGTGTACCGTTGTTGGTGACACCTATCGTTCCGCAGCAAATTCAGAGAGGAATACGTCATCTTAGACTCTTGATCCTCACACAAGTAACCCTAAAGCACCTTATTTATTATTATGAGAACATTAAATTCAGTTACATATCACCTGAAAAATCCCTAATTTTCACCAGAAAGGAGTACTGTAATTATTTTTGAGGATTTATGTGTCACTCCAGAGTCTATACAAAATTGAATTATTCCATTCTTCACACATGGGCATCATCGAAATATAAGTCCAATTTTTGTTTCACAGAAATATCACAAAGTTCCAATTATTATTCACAAAAATATCTCCCACTAGTACTGTTTAACTCTGGTAGTTCACATGAAGATGTCTCTAAAATTATTAGGCAGCATACTAATGATGTGAAAAATGCTACCATAGTTATTAACAGATACCTCTGTAAAGGAGAATTCATTGTGTTTGACTTAGTATTAGACAGGCCAGAAGACGATCCACTTGCAATTAGATTAAGATTTGATACTCCATTAAATCTACAAAAAGAGATTCAACTACTACTACATAGTAATAGCTATTACCTGATGGAAGACATTATTTCATAAAGACCCATTATTATTATTAAATACATGTAAAATTTTTCATACTTACTGAAATTGATCACCCAAGTTTATTTATATTCTTACCACAAACAAGATTTTCACTAGAATTCATATCCTCCACTTCAGCCTCAATTCTCATCTTCTTTGCCAATTCTTCTTCATCCATTTGCTCATCATTCTCTAAAGAACATTTTCAACTATCACTGACAAGTTGTTTCTGCAACACATTAACTTGATCTGCAGAATTTTTGATCACTATCACTTGTTTAACTCACACAGTTCTAAGTTTTTTGTAAGGTTGATTCAGCGTACATACTTTCTTCACTGGTACAGTCCAATCTTTGACAAAACAAAATCTGCATTAATAAATAATTTCACTACAAAAGTTTTCAACTAATACTAAATATATGAAGGGAGTTTTTATTTTGAGCTAAGAGCCCACCACATTCAACCAAGAGTTAAGGTTATGCTAAAACTATGAGTCAGCCTCCTCCCAAGGAATAAAAGAAGTCAAGCTAAGAGCTCTCCACATTTGAACCAAGAGTTGAGGTTACTACTCCAACTAAGAGTTAAAGCCCTTCCCCTTTCCTTACTATGAATTAAAGTCTAACAGCAACTGTGAACCTACCTTCCAATATTGAGTAGTTCTTGGGCCTTCATTCTATGTGTTACATTGAATCCAAACTTGACATTTGCCACCTTTGTAAGATTTTTTTTTACAGTCAAGAATTCTTGATAGTTTGTATATTTTTTCCTTGTGGTAATAGTCCACTAAGTTGGCACATGTCCATTCGTGGACCTAAGCTAATCAAACTAGATATCAAAAAATACACAAAAACGTGAACAAATCATCATTGATTTTGATATCATAATCATAATAAGTTTTAATCACTGAATACACCTATACACCATTTTTTACACTGAAATGTACCTAAAAAGCCCACTATCATACAACTGAAGCAATCCATTCATGTTATTTGGGACATCTCCAGCATAAATGTGTTTTACAATCAATGATAAACACACTCCATTCCTGACATGCTAACTTTTGGCATATTCAATGCCAAGTATGTACACAATATGTAATATGGACACCAAGTCCCTCTTTGAATACTATCAATCTGAGCAAACTTCAGAACATCTCCAAGAGAGTGGAGTATGCCTGCTATGATAAGAACTAGAACTAAACATTTCCGCCTCTTTATTTGCGAGATTCTGAGCACAAGTTTCATGCACTCATACTCATGACACCAACATCCTTTATTTTTAACATCTGAAAGAGATAGGGGAAATTGATGATTATTTTTGCATTCCCATAAGAGAGGTGAGCTATTACTAACATAATTCAGGGAAGCGGAGGGTTGCCCGTCAGTCGGTATAGGAGCGCAGGACACAATCTAGACCGTAAAGCTCTTCTTCCATATTCGAGATATCCAGCAGAGGTTGAGAGCGTAGCATGTGTGGTTACACCAAGGCTTGCTTTTTTTAGTCTTAGTAAAACTGACCCTTAACAAAGCTTCTATTGCCTTTGCCTTATTCCATGCACAGCTACCCGTTCTCCAAGTATTCGAGAAGCACCTTGAGTTCGCTAATGTTTTGTGGGCTCAATGCTACACCCGAGATCGAAGAAAAACTTCATTATCCAAGTAAGTTTGTAAAAAAATTTCGTTTCACTACCAGAAATAGAAATGTTGAAATGTATTTTGCCTAGCGTATTGGGAAAGACCTTACACAGTGGCAGACTGTGGCCTTTTCTATATAAATGCTGAAATGAAATGCCCAGCACAACGTGCAGACAATTCATTATGTACGGCGCGTCGGAATGATAATTCAAGGTTAAATAGTAATCTACAATTTATCGGGTTGTTACACAAACGTGGACAACTTTTCTTACGACAATTTAATGTCGAGCGGAATTGTTAATGTTCCATACAATGTATAGTTATAGACACATCAATACGAAATTGAGGCAGATCAATTCTCTCGAGTTTTTATGCGCTTCTCGCACTGTGATTAAAGGTCAATATTATTGCATAATTATAGTCATTCATTAACGATTTTACCATATTTTAACATAATTTGTTCCATAGGGCAAACTCAAGGGCTCAATTATACTATCATGTCTTCGATAAAAAGAAAAAGAGCTGCGCTTGGCCAGCCTTTAACACATTTGAAGATCCATGATCAAACGCCAACAAAGTCCGATAAAAGCTCTGATAAAGCCATAGAAGCATCATCTGTATCCAAGACTTCAATTTATAGATCACAGCCAGAACTTGATCAAAGTGTGAATCCCATTATTGAGTCAACTCAACTCAGCCTTTTGCATTTCATAATTACTGGTGATAACTCAGTTTGCATTTCTAGACATTAGCAAGAAAATGCCCTCGATTAATTATGCAATAATACAGCCATCGAATCCAAAAATACTTAAAGTTGCTATTATGGGTGCTCCTAATGCAGGCAAATCAACACTGCTAAATTCACTACTTGGTGAAACTGTTAGTAGCCTAGTTTTATTATTTTTGTTTGCTTGAGCATGTATGATGTTAGACTTACTTTTGATTAACAGGTTTCCATAGTATCGGACAAAGCACATACAACTCGGCAACGTACCGCCGCAATACTAACAGAAGGAAACTATCAGATAGTAAGTGCAGAATTACCCGACAGGTGTATCACTTTCTTCTGTATCATCTGTCGCGTACATTTAAATGTATGCTTAACTTCTCGCGAGTTATTAACAGATCATAAGATATTTCTCGATACACCAGGGGTAGTCCCAGGAAAAAATAAACATCGATTGAATAGAGAGCTTGTTAATGCGGCATGGCATGCACTACAAGAAGCTGACCATCGTATGGTATCATTATGAGATAACCAGACAATATCTTTTCTTGTTCTAAATAACTTTGTTTTTGTTCTTGATCACTAGTGTTGGTTGTCATTGATGCATTCAGAGCATCGACAAAATCCACATACACTGAAGAAACTATGTTTGATCGTTTGAATCGGCATAGCATTCCTGCCACATTATGTTTCAACAAAGTATTTATGTGCAAAATATTTTTTTTGGTTCCATGTTTTTATTGAAGCTGATCAATTACAAACTATTTGACAGATTGACATGTTGGGAAGCCAAAGGGATCAAGATAAATTGAGCCAGAAATATCATCACCTTTACAATAATATCAAAGAGACTTTATTTATTTCTGCGTTACATCTGGAAAATGTGAATGAACTCAAGGTAAAATCCAGAAAGTACATTGGCTATACTAATTTGAGGCTAATATGAATAATAATTTAGGCGAAACTTTTCTCTTATACTTACTCCCACAAATGGCTCTATTCGTCATCCCAAAAAGTCGATATGAGTGAAATAAAACGAGTCGAGGAATTCATACGGGCAGAATTTTTTGATAGATTTTATGATTACATTCCATACATGATTAAGCTTGTATGTATAATATATGCTTGAACATTGCTGATATTATATTTGTGTAAGCTAAATTGGAATTGAATTTGATCTTATAATAGAATAATTTATGGATGGAAGAGCAGGGTGATGGTAGGCTCAAAATAGTGGAAGAAATACAATTGGAAAGAGATTCCCAAGAGGTAAATTTGATTTCGATCTTTCAAAGCGATCACATCTTTATGTGTGTGTTTGCTAACTATTACTTGTACATACAACTGATAGAAAATAGTGGTAGGCAAAAATGGGAACGTAATCAAAGAGATTACAGCTGCTGCAAAATCAAACATCGAACGTGCGTTAGGGAAGTCGGTTGATTTGTATCTGAAAGTTAGAGTAGAAAAGAAAAGGGGTTAAATGCCTACGTTTTGGAAAATTTGGTCTTTATTAATTACCTGTTAGTAAATGGTTTTATTCTAGCATTATCTTTAGTTACAACGAAAGTTGAATATATCTTTGATTAATCCAGTAGGTGTTTATCCCACGTGGATCGACATACATAGTAAAAACGTATTAGGAAAATTTTTTTGAAAAAATTTGTATTCCCAACGAAATGGCCAGGCGGAGGGTATGCACTAATATAACAAAATTTATTTTCTAGCAATATAATTCTAATTCTTTCTCGTTCCTTAATGTTAGAAAAAGAGACGTACTCATGTTCGTCCTAGTGATACTCCTCTCCCGAACGCGCCGGTAATACCGCATTCCTTTGTCATAAAATCAGGAAAAGTTGGTAAATCGGTGTCTGGCCTTGTGAGGGATATTCGCCGTGTTATGGAACCTAATACTGCGACCAAATTACGAGTATGTACAAGTACAGGAGCATGTTATATCGTTCTTTGACCTGCAAAAAGCCTGATTAATCAAAGATTTATTTGTGAACACGGAGCGTTACAACTATCCTAATCATTGACTGAAATATATCACCTAGGAACGCAAACGCAACAAATTGAAAGACTTTGTCGCCATGGCCGGTCCCCTGGGCGTTACCCATATTTTAATCTTAACTCAAACAGAAACTGGTACTAATCTTCGGATTGCTCGATGCCAACGGGGACCTACACTTTGTTTTCGGGTGACAAAGTTTGCCTTGATATCTGATGTGCTCCATGAACAGAAACACGCCAAGAGCCCTGGAACAGAATATTTGACCCCGCCATTGGTTAGTTTGACAAGGAAAAACAGTCTAATGAGTACATGTTAAAGTGAATAGGAATATTCACCACTTTTGTTTTATTGTAGCTAGTGTTAAATGGATTCGACGGAGAAGAGAAGCAAATGAAGTTGATGACAACCATGTTTCAGAACATGTTTTCGCCTATAAATGTCAAAACGGTAAACATACTTGTTGCTTTTCTGTGTTCTGCATGCATACACAATTAACTTGCTCTTTTTTTCGAAACACAGATGAATCTCTCTGAAGCGAGACGAGTTGTGTTATTAAACTACAACCGTGATACAAAGTTAATCGATTTTCGACACTACAGCATTGGAGTGAAACCAATAGGTGTCAGTAAGAAATTAAAGAAAATAGCTGCAAATGAGGTGCCTGACCTTCACGAATACAACGATATCAGTGAATATATTCTACGGTAAGGTTCCGAGCTGCGTAACGTGATGTCGAGCAGTATTCAGCACGTTATTTTAATAATATTATTTTGAAGCAAAGGAATGTCTGAAAGCGAAGCAGAAAGTGAAGCAGAAACAAGCGCAGTAACTCTCTCTCAGAATTACCTTGGCCGGAGTAACCCCAAATCCTCTCAGAGAGCAATAAAACTGACCGAGATTGGACCACGAATGGAATTGGAGCTAGTCAAAATACAGGCTGAAATGTGTGATGGAGAAATTCTTTTTCATCAACGTGGTATGTCATAAGCGTATTTTGAGATTTCAATTCTATATGCACTTAGTAAAATCTTGTTTGGCTGCGCGTGTTTGTTCTATTGAACATTAGTGACGGATTCTGTCTCCGAAGAATAAAAATCATGTAAAAAATTGTATATAAAGCGCTTCTTTGTACAATTGGCGCTGACGTGCCGGATTCATAGTATTTATTCAAGAACTTTTTCACAAAGCAAGAACAGACACCAAGAAAATCAATAAAAAGGATTATTATGTTTCACGGAAGATTAAACAAAAAACATACTATATAAATGAGTGTAAGGTATTCTTTCCTCTGACTAATTTGTTTTTTGTTGTGAGTGCTTAAAAGAAAATAAATATAGTTTAAGCGATTGGCAAGGCGACATCTTTGACTATATATTGTAGTGCCAAACGAAGGCAGTAATTTAATAAATAAAGATATTATTGTAGAAGAGTTAGCCTAAATGACCTCGAAATAGAAAAAAGGTTGGAACAATAAACTCGTCTAATTTTTTCTGTTTCGCTTAAATACCAGCTGTCAAATGACGTGATTAATCGTCATGATTATTGGCAAAGGTTGCGTATTGAATATTGTTATTGTGCCAAATCACGTAATATAACGAACAAGAAGCCACCACTGACTACTCTTCTGTTACCCCTTCTTCGTCTGGTCTGTCAAGTTGAAATATGGTGTTGGCTTTAGTATTTATTACCTTCAATTTGTACATGATTGTTTCCGTGATTGAACGTCTTCAATGTTTCTGTTTTCAATGTAGTCATAAAAATCGTGTCTTTATTTCCCTTGCGTATGTGATCACGGAAACAAACGTTCAGTCACCCTGGATATATTACAAGTCTCCAACAAAGATAAGTTATTTTACACACTTCCTACGCGCCAAAGATTGTCTTTTCAGAATCAATGCTTCAAAAACCGTGAGCGGTATTATAGTCAAGCCCTTGATCTTAATAGGAACTTGTCAAGCATCACTCCATCAAGACTATATGCTGAGCATACGATCTTTTTCGGCCACAATTCCATAAGTACATAATGATGTTTCTTGTCCTCAGTAACATAAAATTTATAGTTTTCTACTCTATCGTAATCCAAACTACCTCCAGCTCCACCTATGATTGCATAAGTAATACCATCTCTGTCACCCCTCTGGTAGTTGTGCTGATGACCGCTAATGACCAAATCGACTTTATACTTTCTAAACAACGGAACGAATCGCGTTCTTACAAACTCGCCCCAGTGTTTCTCTCCTTTCTCGTGCCAGCTGTCTGGATCCCAATATTCTAAGAATGGAGGAATATGTACGATAACCACTCTAAAATCAGCACTTTGCGACTCTGCGGATGCAAGCTCGTTTTCCAACCATTCATCTTGTTTCATATCGTCCATGTTACTATCTAGGACAATCCACCAACTATTAGCCATTTTGAAGGAGTACCAAAGTGCTTTCCCTGTGTACGTATATTCCAGATCAGGATCGTAGTCATGATTACCGTGAGCATAGATCAAGGGCGCCTGTTGGCCGAGATAAGAAGCGGTCAGAGGATCGTAGAAGTCTGTTTGCCATTGTTGAAGATTCTTGTATTCTTGCACTGCATCTCCTGCGTGTAGTATATAGTGAGGTTGCTTATGCCGAGCTGCAGCCGACTCTACAAGCTCATTGAAAACTCGCAGCCCAAACTGGTTATCCGAAAATGCAAAAATGTTGATCGGATAGGATAGCTTGTGCTTATCCTTCTTTCGACCTTGGCGCGTCTTATTGCTTGAGGGTATGCTTGGGAAAAAGGGGAATGAATATTGTGCCACTAAAATTATGTTGTCATTGTTCTTTGAATAAGTTATTTCATATCTGTAAGTGTCGACGTTTCTCAATGGTCCTATTGTTGCTTTATACACATAATGATTGTTATCTATAACGGTAGGGATAATCGAATCTGGCATTTCATGAATTACATGAACTGCGTTCGACTCGCGATACCAACGCAGCCTCACATTCTCCATCATACAATTGGACTCCCATACTGCAACTACGTTGTAAGTGTCCAGCACATATATAATTGGCTCCTTTCTTAGAGAACACGACAGCAAGCCAGTATCGTATAGATAATTTTTGACTTTGTATTTACCAAGGACAGCATAAACTCGGATTGTTGACAGCCATATCCAGCAAAACAGGATAGCCGTGAACAATAGTAGATAAACGTGTCTCCGTTTTATTCCGCGAACAAAATATGTTGCAATCAATGCAGACATACGTCGACTTATAAGCAGCCCTTGATGTAATCGTGATTGCTTTGTTGCGTCGTTAGACGACTGCCGTAAATAAGGCATATAATTAGAGGAAGACGAAGATGAATTATGGACTGAGCGCTGAGGTCGAAATATAAAGGGAATGGGAAAAGACTCAAAATAAGATGTATATGTGACACTCTCCCCGTTGTAGTTATTTGTATCGTTCTGATCAGTGCGTCTTCCTGGTGACGAGCCAGCCATTATGAGCTCGAATGTAATAAGAAAAAAAGATACAACACTAATAAACAACAGATTGTTTTTCGATCTGCAGTAACACGAACGCTAAATATGTACTCGAGAGAATTTGAATTAAATTTTCAGGTTTTTCATTACATTATACTATTGTTGTGCACATACTATAAATAGTTAACGTTTGGGATAAAGTGGAAACCTTGTTGAAAAGATCCATTGGCAGTTTCTATTTCAGCTTTCTATTTCATATGGCCAGAGTTCTTATTCTTTCAGCGTAACGCCTGGCTTTTACAGATTTAGGACGGCGTCATGTGTTAAATGCAACCAGCGTTAGTTTGGATGTCACACTACTGTGTTATGGAGTTGAGACCTCTGACTTTGATACAGGAATTTATTCTTTGTATTTAGTGCAGAGCTTTTGTGAGTAATCTAAGAGATACATCATATTTGGGGCATGCTGCAACAAAACCAGCCAAAGTGAATATTGATTATTATTACGCGAGATAAAAATTGATAGTGTGGCAATTTTTTTTAACATTTATATTTAGTAGCACAACTGCCTGGTCATTATTGAGATAAATGTTTTACTTGCAATTATCAAATATAATTCATATAGGACTATCTTTATTATGAAAGCTTTTTTCTTTCCTGAGTACTCATTTTAACTACTTGCAAAAATTACCATGGATAACTTCTATAATTAAAGATTACATTGTTCGTAAATTCATTAAACCATGGTATTTGAGTCCCGCTTTTTTAAACAACTTTTCAAATACTCAACCAACCGTGGCGCTGATTCAGATAGTTAACGTCAAATGCCTCGGCGACTGCCTGCCGGAATGACATGGGTGCTGTTTGAATTTTCAGAGAGAAGTACGTTCGTATGTTACCAACTATATTGTTGCGTCCTTCGTCACCGCTCTTGTCGTACTTGTTCCGAAACAGTGTTGCATTCGTGGGGTCGTTATCAAGAGCGTAGCTGACCCACAGCTCGAAGTATGCAACTCGTTCGTGTTTTCTATTCTCGTCCAACTCCTTCAAGATTTTCCCTTCCGCGGATGGTTTTCCACATAGAGAATAGCATTTGTTAGCTCTTCGGCTGGTGCACTAAAGGTTTGTTTACTTGAGGAAGCCATAGTTGGGGAGAATGCGTGTCATCGCGTCTGGTGCTAAAAGCAAATTTTTGTTAATCAGATCACGGGAAATTTTGACGCAACACATGCTAAATTAGTCTTAAATCTAATTGGTACTCATCTGTCTACTGTATATTCTTTGTTTGCTCTGAACATCGTTTCTCAAATGCCACACAATATAAACTTCTAACCACACTAATAATGATTGTTATCTTGTCATAAAGAACAACAAAGACGCTCAAGATGTGCTTTATATGTTTAAATATAAAACAATCTTTGTTTATGGTCAAAAGAAAAAAGTAAATCAAACGGTTTTTGTCTAGACTATTACCGAATCGAAAATACTTTTATGACGCATGGGGTTACTATAAAAGCAGCAGAGTTTTCTCTTCGTTCATACCTAACAATCATCAATTGCAAAAGCTATCTGATCACTTTTGACTTAAACAACTTGAAAATGCACACTTTCACCAGCGAATTCTATTGCGGATTACTGATCGGAATCTTGCTTTCCTGCTTTATTATAAACTCCACACAAATAAACTTTGCGACATTAGTCAAAAAATTGATGTAATAATCAATTTAATCGAGCCTAAAAAAAGGCATAATAACAAACCAAGTAAACCATTCGGCGAACGAACCTACTTGCCAGGCGTCGAAAAACTGTGGACGAACTTTAAGAAATTATTTGACAAACAGACTGAACTGGATCCGAACTTTTCATTTAACCAAATGGCCACTGAAATCTGCGAATTACGCGAAGGAAAAGGCATCGCAACCTCCACGTTGAAAAGCTTTTACAAACGAAAAACTAATCCGAGGAAGAGAACGCTACAATTTATCGAAGACTGGATTGATAAGAATAAAGAAATAGATGATAGTGACAGTATTATTAACAATATCGATAGTAAAGATAATGAAATTTAAATTTGTTCAGAGTGACCAAAGAATAGGTTATACTCAAAAATGGCTTTGGGTCCGAGTATTTTCCTCCCATGCAATGGTGGCTCGTGATACTATTGATGGTTATTCTGACATGGTTTTTATTTGTAATGAATGGACAAAAGATCACAATAACAATATTCTTCTGCGATACTAATACGAGAAACGTGATAGGTTAAAATGGGACAGACATAAATGCTTTTGTAGTCGTTTAAAAGCTAAATCAACCAAACCACTTTCTGATAAAGAATTACTTTCACGAGCTTTCAATACTCGTTTAAAAAAATAAAGTTAGAGAACTAGAAAAAACAACTATCAAAGAAGAATTGAATATTAAAGTGGCAAAATTTCAAGAAAAGTTAGAAGAATGAAGTAAAAGACAGAAGCAGAGTTCTTGGATAAGATAAAGAGTTTGGAAGAAAAAATTAAACAGTTAGAAGAGGAAAACAAATTATTGAAAGGTCTAGTTGCTCAAATTGAAGTTAAAGAAACTAAAAAATGATCTTGATTGAAATTAAGGACGTAATTTAAAGATTGGTAAATTTTATAAGTAAGAATTTTTTCCTTATATAGATATTCCTGGAGTGTTGGGTATCATTAATTTAAAAACGTATGGAGCAATTTTCTCTCCTTGAGGGTTTCTTCTAATTGTGCTGTAATTCTTTGGTTTCATAGTAGATTTGATGTAAATTAGTTTTCATATTATAATTTTTTCATATAGAGATAATCCTGTTATGGTTTATACTCGCCACATCTGGTATGATATACATTAAAATTAACAAGTCCATAATAATAAGCTATGAATGATTACTTTTTAAAGTGTTATCGGTCACACCATTCAATTTTACAGCCACATCATAATAATGTCACATATTAGAATGTTCACGTTGTCTGGTTTTGTTGCAGCACGCCCCATATTAATATAATGAATAAAAAATTAAACGTATTTTTCTAAATACATTAAATTGTCCACTGGAAATCAAGTTATACCTGCGGTCGATGGTTTGAAAAATGCCACTTTGTTGACTCTGGATTACTTGATCATACGTATAACACTGTTTAACCACTGCTTTAAACAGCGATGTTATTATAGCTGAACTGAACTGACGAACCCCACAATACAACGCTTTAGTATTATTTATTCTTTTCTCATTGTACTGTCTGTTATTTATACGTGTATATGTTCGAATTCTACTATTGATAAATTTGGTGACATTTATTGTCTTAGTTACTGTATTAGTATATAGAATAGGATAGCTTATCATATTTACAACTTACTTTTTATCAGCTCACTAACAGTCAATTTACGGTAGCAATCATAGGTCCCTAATTCAGGGCGGAATGAGTAAACACTTTGAAAACTTCTCTGCATATAGTGTACAACAAACCCTGACTCACTGCGAGATTTCATATTCAGTTCGATCAGACGTCTCATTATCATAGCAAATTTTTCAAATTACAAATACTTTACCTTAGATACGGAGTTAATAGCCAAAATAAAAGAACCTGAATTAAAATTTTTGAATATTGTGCTGAAGGCTTTGGCCGTAAGCCTGCTGATTAATATTAATTAGAGAATTGAGAGGATTTACAGACAAATTAACGGAGTTAGAGGCTACCTTGAAGAAAGAGCAGACATTGCGGTTTCAGCCATAAAATTCAAAAATTCATATCTCGACACCTTTCAGTCCAAAATTTTCTTCAAAACATTATGTGACTCACTGCTACAGATGCAAATGTCCTTGCGACATGATGATGCCTGATTAGTAGAATGCGCGTTTCCTACAAAGTATAATAACGATTTTTTTTCTGATTCGACCATACATTCAAAGGACACGTAGAGACAGATCTGGCGTACAAAAAAGATCATGCAAATTTATTAGAAACATGTGGATGTAGATGTATGTTGGAACGGTTTATGACTGCCACTGTATTTTACTTCAAGAATTCTTTGGCAAGCCACTTTAGCATGCTTTTTGGTGAAGTTTTTGGAGATATTCACGTGATAATCCAAGTTTCGCGTGACATGAATATGTTGAAGTAGTTAATATGTTGTGTCGTGATGCTTTAATGAGTGTGATTGGCCAATAGTCACGTGAATATAAGTCATTTGGAATTTCGGGTTATTGGCGTCTTTAGGTGTCTGCATCAACATAACTCCATAAATAAATACCGCTTACAGTAAACATAGGACTCAAGTTGTGCGACACGCGTTCCTTTATAAGCTGCCAAATCTTTTTTTTGGTGAGGAACAAAACACTGCTTGTTTATTACAAATGGTAGAAGCCGAAATCCAAAGACAAGAACGGAAGGCCCAAAATTATGCATTCGCGGAAAGCGTCCAGAAACTTCAAGATAACAAGGTAAGATGATGATGCACGTCTTTATATTTATAGCGACTCTTACGAATATGTAATTTGAATGGCGGCCTTTTCAGGAGAAAGATACTGCCCGACGATTTCAATTTTTGCTAGGACATGAAGGTATTTTTGACACCTGATCAATAAGTCTAATTGTATCCATTGAATAAGAACTAATAACTGTGGTGCGTTTTTAAGAATTATTTTCGCATTTTATCAACTTGAAGGTATTTTTTCTTTCAAACTTCTGCGTGGTCTTTGCAGATTCTACACTTTGCTTGTTTCATGATGCACTAATGTATTTGCGTTCTTTTCTGCCTTCGTTTTAGAAATCAAAAGATGAAGAGTTTAGACACCTTATAGAAGAAACTGAGCGGTCGGGACCTAAAATTCAGCGCAAGGAAAAGTCAAATGATGGGTATGAATACTCCCATACTTGTTTAATAGCTTTCTTGTTTGATGAAAGATTGCTCAAGATAATATCTAATAATGTGTTTTATTTAGATCTCGGCGACATCGCAAGACCGAAAAAGAGGAAGATGAGGTGTGTAATTGCTCGAATTCATTATCGATTTGCACCAACTCACAATTGTGATATATCTATTAGGAATTGTTGAAAGATGAGGAGAACGAGGAAAATGAGTTCAAAACTGTCTTTACAGAATCACCAAACTGTTAGTTTTTCAATAATATTTTAGACTTGAGATTATTCGTTTGACCTCACGTCTATTTTCTGTCAAATAGACATAAAAAATGGTACCATGCGTGACTATCAATTACAAGGCCTGAATTGGATGATTTCTTTATTCGAAAATGGTATTAACGGCATCCTGGCTGATGAAATGGTAAGACAAAGAAAATTTACAATTATAATTAATTGTTAATGCATGAATTTGTTTTTGACGAACTGTGATTTGATGATAGGGTTTAGGGAAAACTCTACAGACAATCTCATTTCTCGGATATTTGAAATTTTACCGTGATATTTCCGGGCCGCATTTGGTAGTTGCTCCAAAATCAACTTTAAACAATTGGGAAAAGGAATTTGCCAAGTGGATACCAGAATTTCGAGTTATTGTATTTCAAGGCACTAAAGAAGAACGGGTATGACAAAAGAAATTGCATCTTCTCTTTTACATTTGTTGTATGACTTAAATTCCTTATAATATTTAGGCACAAATAATTAATGAACAATTGCTACCGCAAAACTTTGAAATTTGCGTCACGTCATACGATTTTTGCTTGCGAGAAAAATCAGTTTTGAAAAAATTTGCATTTCAATATCTTGTAATAGACGAAGCCCACCGCATTAAAAATGAGAATTCTATGCTGTCACAGATAGTGAGAGTTTTTCATTCGAGAAATCGTCTCTTGATAACAGGAACGCCCCTTCAGAACAATTTGCATGAACTATGGGCGTTGTTAAACTTTTTGTTACCAGACGTTTTCTCCTCTTCGGATGATTTCGATTCATGGTTTCAATCTCAAGGAGGGGACCAGGATAAAGTTGTCCAACAACTTCACAAAGTAAGAATACTTCTGTACGAAAGATCTGTAGTCGCACCATTATGTTTTCTCACTTAATTTCTCTTCTGAAGGTACTCAGACCTTTTTTATTACGAAGGATAAAAGCTGACGTTGAGAGATCACTTCTCCCAAAGAAGGAAATTAATCTTTACGTCGGCCTGTCGGTAATGCAACGAAGATGGTATCAGAAGATATTAGAGAAAGACATTGCAGCAGTTAATGGTTGGTTGTGTTAAGAAAGTATTTTGTCATCAAAGCACGGCTTGTTTATCACTGCTATTTTGCTCACAGGCGCTATAAGTAAGGCGGAAAGTAAAACTCGATTATTAAATATTGTGATGCAATTGAGGAAATGTTGCAATCATCCATATTTGTTTGATGGAGCCGTAAGTGGTCTACTTAGGAGGTATTTTGCTTTGTAAGTTGCTTTTAATTGCATTATCCACGTTATCATAGGAACCTGGGCCCCCATATACTACGGATGAGCATCTTGTCGAGAATGCAGGTTTGCATTGCTTTCCGTGCTTATGTCTGTCAAGTTGTTATTTTGCGTTTTTCTTAATTTACTTTTGGGTCTCAAGGGAAAATGGTCGTTCTTGACAAGCTTTTGAAGCGGTTGAAGGCGCAGGGTTCACGCGTTCTTCTCTTTAGTCAAATGAGCCGTGTACTAGACATACTAGAAGACTACTGCTTGTTACGTAATTTCGGTCAGTATTCACTGTTCAACTGGATATTCAGCTGGCGCGTTCGGTTATTAATCGATTTGTTTGTGTTCATCAGCTTATTGTCGCATTGACGGACAAACCAAACAGGATGAACGTATTTCATCAATTGACGAGTTTAATAGAATGGGGAGTGACAAGTTTATATTCCTTCTTACCACACGTGCGGGAGGCTTAGGCATTAATCTAACTACAGCGGATATTGTCATATTATATGACAGTGACTGGTAAGCTTAGGCGCTTCATAAGAATGCGGTCAATTTTGTATTAGGGTTTGTCACCAATAGTTTTTCCTAGGAATCCACAAGTTGACTTGCAGGCGCAAGACCGTGCACATCGCATTGGGCAGACGAAACAAGTCTACGTATTTCGATTTGTGACGGAGGTACTATCTCGTAGTGTTATGCATATTTGAGGCAATTATTAATGTTACAATATTTAATTATTAGAACGCTATTGAAGAAAAGGTACTCGAAAGAGCAGCGCAGAAATTGCGGTTGGATCAATTAGTCATCCAGCAAGGCAGAGCCACGCAAAATTCTAAAGGTAAAACGATGCAACAAGCTTCTTTGCTATTCAATCAAAAGGTTCCTGAACGTTTCTAACTTTTCTTACTAAACCAGCTGCAACCAAAGACGAACTTCTTACCATGATTCAGCACGGGGCCGAAGAAATTATAACGTCAACTGAGAGTACAGTGACTGATGAAGACATTGATTATATTCTCAAAAAAGGCGAAGAAAAAACTGTGAAACTTAATCAAAAGTATCAGGGACTCGGTTTGGAAGATCTGCAGAAATTCACATCCGAATCAGCTTACGAGTGGCAAGGGGAGAATTGGAGTAATAAAGTATGACTGTGTCTAGCGTATTAGGAGTTCTCTGAACACGACTGACATTTTTTATGTGAATTCAGCGAAAACCGGACGGTTCAGGCTTTGTTTGGATTGAGCCCCAAAAGCGAGAACGCAAAGCAAATTATGCAGTAGATAATTATTATCGTGATGCACTTCGTGTCACGCCCAAGCCATCTCAACCTAAAGCACCAAAGCCACCTAAGCAGATCAACATGTCGGTATATTACTGAATTAGCGTTTATTTTAAGCTTTCAATAATCGTTTGTTTCATTGTTTATCTTGTATATTCTTTTAATAGAAATGAATGGCAATTTCCCAGTCCACGGTTAGTGGAACTGCTTAAGAAGGAAAGATATTATTACCAGGTAGGCGATTGATTAGCAAAGTCATGTTTTTACTCCACAGACTATTTACGAACGCTCTATATGTAGAAAACCACCGGTTATAAAGTTCCTCTACGAGAACCATCTGGGGAGAACGAAGAAGAAGATTTAGCGCAACGACAAGAAGAGCGGCAAGAAGAACAAGACAAAATTGATAATGGTAATGATAGGTGGTTAGCAATAATAATACTTGCTGATTTTGTACAAGACACTAATTAAGTTGTTATTTGTAGCCGAACCCCTCACTGAGGAAGAAATACAAGAAAAAGAAGCTGCACTAGGAGAGGTGTGTAGTATAACTCTTAATTATAAATTAGCTAGCCCCACTGACGAATTCGTTGTTTTTCCTATCAGGTCTTTGACGATTGGTCAAAACGTGACTTTAATTGTCTTATAAATGCGTCTGCTAAATATGGAAGGTAAAGGACGCTCTGGTCTTCCTGCTCAATAATCGAATATTATATTTAACTATTGTTATTTATTCAATTTTAGGAACGCTCTTGAGAGTGTTGCTAGTGAAATCGAAGGCAAGACTTTTGAAGAAGTATCAGCATATGCTGAAGTTTTCTGGGAACGATATCGTGAACTTCCAAGTAAGTTAAACTTACCTATTATGGCATATTTTACTTTTATCCGTGAGATATGCTAAGTCTTTTGCATTCCACAAAGACTACGAGGAAATAATAGCCAAAATTGATAGAGGTGAGGCAAGGTTGCGACAAACTATGGAGATACAAATGTTACTTGAAGCCAAGGTCGCAAAGTATCGCTCGCCCTTGAGTCAAATGCAAATACAATATAACCAAGCTAAAGGCAAGAACTATACCGAGGCAGAGGATCGATTTTTAATTGTCATGCTTACCAGATACGGATACGGAACAGAGGATGTTTATGAAAGAATTCGTGAGGAGATCGAGGCAGAGGAAAGCCTTTTCAAGTTCAACTGGTTTATTAGGTCACGGACGACGGCTGAGATTGCACGTCGTTGTTCGACTCTTATAAGTCTTCTGCAAAAAGAGCAAACTGAAATAGAAGAGAAAGAACGGGAGGAACGACGAGCGCGGAATGATAGTAAAGTACGTTGTGTCGTATGGTATTTGTTATTGCTGATTATTAAAAACAATTTTTAACTCGTGGTTTCTTTAGAAGAGAAAAGCCGAAGAAACAGCCAGTAAGCCGGGTGCAGCAAAACGTAGAGCAGGCAAGAAAGAGTCGAGTAATGAAGAATCCTCTGATTCCGGAGATGAGTCTAGTCGAAGTTCCAGTAAAGTAAGTTGATGAACTATTTATAACAGATTTGCACTTTTCATTTGTAGTATTAGCAGTCCTGCGGTGGCTTAACTGATAATCGCTTAATTTGTAGAAGGTGTCTGACGAGGCATCAGTTAAATCATCAAGCACCAAGGGATCGAAAGCCTCAAGCTCCCGGTCAGTGGCCAAATTAAATGGTGGGAAAGCTAATGGAACAAAAAATGGACGCGGGAAGAAGATTACGAAGCGCAAGGCTTGAGCAGATATGGTTAGAACTTTGCTAGGGTGTACACAAACACAATATAGAATACTATAATCCATTATAAAGAAGAGTTAGTTGTCGAACAAGTTTATTCTCTTGTATATAATCTCAATATTACTGTAATGGTTCGTCAATAAATCGCATCAATACGGGGCGGATATGCCCCAACTTGGCATGAACATATTAAGTATAGAAGCTCCTTGATACAGTCTAATCGCGATACAAGTCAGCGGAAACGGGGGAATTCTTCGCTATGTACATAATAATGGCTCAAAAGCTAATACTGCTGAACAATTTATTGGTATTAAGTCGTTAACGTAGCAAGTGTCATACCGTTCAATGATACTTATTAAGGACAATCAGTCGCCGTAAAACGGATGTACCAATAAAGGACCCACGAAATCAGACGACTCTAGGATAATATTTAACCATTCTCTTGCTGCAGCACTAGCTGACGCACGACGTCTCGCATTGTTCTAAGACTAACCGACTTCCCGCACGAGAATCGAACAAACAAGACTAGTCTTTGGGTTTCTAGTCTTGCATCTATTCTGTAAGCGCAATGCTTAAACTGGGTGGATGGATCCCGAGACATTCTTTGTCAATAATAAAGTGTCAAAGTACGCTTGCGGATTATTCTAGAATATCGCTCAGACTATACCAAAAAAGGAAGCGAAATCTGTGTCGTTCTTGAGAAATTCAAGCCGCGAGCCCAATGTGAACGAAATATTTATTATTGAGTAACTTCAAGGCCAAACTATTATCAGAGGTAAAATACAAGAATAAACGCATTTACTTATACTTCAATTATCCAGCAGCTCTTTTTTCTTGGGTGTGGGACGACAATGAGGGACTTCTGTTTTTTCAGTTTTCCATATTAATAATAGATCTTACTTACTTGTTGATCGGAATGGGGCACGTGAACGTTTTGTGCCCAATCGTAACTGTAATGAGCTGTAGCGTCAACGCTATAATAATCAGTTTTACCTCTTATTATAAACTGCTCATCCACCAATTTTCTCTGTAGTTCTGCTAATTTCGTATTTTTGTTGTCTCTAATTTAGCTTTAACTAAATGTTCTTTGAATTTTTTCAATATATCTTTCGCTTCTTCTTCCTTGCGAGCATTATATTGTAAGCCATTCCGAAAATGTTGACACGTGTCACATAAATCCGTTCTTGGACTCATGATTTGAACATAAGGCGTTAATTGGTGTCATAACTTACGAAACGCATCATATTTTAACAATTTCAACGTGCTATCGTTTTCGAGACCTGCAATAAAATCACGATAGACTGATTT